TAGATTCTTTTTTTTTTAGAGACAGAGTCTCATTCTGTCTCTCAGGCTGGAGTGCAGTGGCACCATCTCAGCTCACTTCAACCTCCACCCCCTGGGGTTCAAGGGATTCTCCTGCCTCAGCCTCCCAAGTAGCTGGAATTGCAGGTTCATGCCACCACCCACAGCTAATTTTTGTATATTTAGTAGAGATGAGGTTTCACTATGTTGGCTAAGCTGGTCTCAGATGCCTGACCTCAAGTGATCCGCCCCCTCGGCTTCCCAAAGTGCTGGGATTATAGGCATGAGTCACCGTGCCTGTCTTCTTCGTTTACTCTCTAGCTTCAACTGGATTTATTTCAGGAATGCTATATGCCGCCACCTCCTGGCCTTTGCACCTGCTGTGCTAGTTTGTGGCGCTCCTCTGCTAAACATGCACAGGCTCCTTCCCAGCTCCTTCCTCTATTTCAGGTCCCTGCTCACATGCTGCCACTTAAACCACTCAGTCTAAAAGGGCCCTCCCTGCCTCTGCATTCCTCACCCTGCTTTCTTGGTTTGCAGTTCAGCCAGGCATGATGCTAGTTATGTGCTTATTCTGTGTTGCCCGCTGGAATGTAATTCCATGAGGGCAGGGATTTTACTCTCTGCTGTATTTTCAGTTCCTGGAACAATGCTGTCACATAAAAGTGCTCAGTACTGTGCAGCAGAATAGAAGCATGCGGGCTCTGAGCCTTGTCATGTGCTCTTCCCTTTCTCTGAACACTCTTCTAATCCCTAGGCCTTACTTGCCTCACTCTGACTCAACTTTTTGGTCTCACATAGATTAGCGATTCTCAACCTTGACTGAAAAAATGGAATCACCTAGAGAATGTATCCCAATGTCCATATCAAATGCTACACCAATTAAACCAGCAACTCTAGGATGATACGGCATTGGTTTGTTTTTAAAGCTCCCCCAGTGATTCCAGTGAGCAGCCAAACTGAAAAGCACTAGCTTAGAGACTTCTCTTCAAAGCCTAATTTCACCAGACACCACCCAACCTCCTTTACCTGAAGTCTGGACTAGGGGCCACTCCTTTATAGAATAACAGCTTTTGAATTTGCATTATTAAAACTGCCTGTTCGGAGTTTGCAGTAAGCCAAGATCACGCCACTGCATTCAATCCTTGGCGCAGAGTGAGACTCCATCTCAAAAAAAAAAATTAAAAACCTTCCTGTTATATTCCCAGCAGACTGGAAACTTTTTGAGAGCAGGGCTAGTACCTTACTCTCTCATTTCCCATTATACAGGCTGCTTGATATCTCAGTAATTTCTCACAATATCTGAAACCAAATTAACCTTGCTTACTTAATACAGTACCATTGTACTCAGATATGGTTTTATTTAGTAAAGCAGATTTCTGATCTTACATACAGTTTTTAGGAAGAGCACTTTGCAGGAAAAAGGGGTGGGTTGGAGCCAGACTTAGCAGTTTACTCACCTGGATAAAGTCCTTCACCAAACAGCTGACTCTCAAAGCAGGAGGCTGCCACTAATGGTTACTTTCAGAGTGTGTTCACTTATCAATTTAATAGTTTTGGAATCAATTCTGGTGATTTTTACTATAGCAATAGAACAGTTGGTCTTATACTAGGAGTTTGGGGACACCTTTTTTTCCAGGGATACGCTAATATTTGCTGAATGAATAACTATGGACAAGTTAGTTAACCTCTATGAGTGTCTTCCTAATCCATAAATTAGAGCTAGACCTGCTCTCGTGGAAGTTGAGGCTGTAAAAGTAGACTACATTCCAATTGTAAAGGGTCTTGGATGTGATGCTAAAGCTCTTGAACTTTATGCTGGGGGCATATTAATTTCTTAAGCAGGATAATGACATAATTGGTAACACAGTAAGGCAATACAATATTACTGTGGGTTTATCGGGGGTGAGTTGGGGAGGGGAAGATCACAGGCAAGGAGACCTGGTAGGGGTGCGTAAGATAAGACAATTGTTTCAGAACTAATGAGTCTTTAATATTTTCAGCACATAGTGATAGAGCATTCTGGGAAGCAGTTGGTGGTTTGGATCCGTTGTTGAGGAGAGAGGTTAGAGCCAAAGTTAAAGATTTAGGATACTGAAGGGTGGGGTTTAGGTCAAGTTGCCCTACATGGCCTATAACAAAGAAGAAAAGAAAACCAAGGATGGATTCTAACAATAACAAAATTTATCTATCTATCTATGAATGAGCTTCTCTCTCGTCACCCTGAAGTGTAGTGGTGCAATCTTGGCCCACTGCAACTTACACCTGCTGGGTTCAAGCGATTCCCCTGCCTCAGCCAGCTCCAGAGTAGCTGGGATGACAGGTGCCCACCACCACACCCAGCTAATTTTGTATTTTTAGTAGAGACGGAGTTTCACCATGTTGGCCAGACTGGTCTCGAACTCCTGATCTCAGGGGATCCGCCTATCTCAGCCTCCAAAGTATTAAGATTATGGGTGTGAGCCACAATCACCAAATATAAAGGACAGGAAGAAATAAAGGCAGGAAAGGGCTGAAAGCAGTTAAAATGATAAAAGGATCAAAACGTAGTGGGTTGTAGAACCGAGGAAGGAGTTTTAAGGGTGAGGTGGTGTCAAGAGCGGCAAATAGCTAAACACCAAGGAGGATGCAAACCCCAGAGCATTCCTGGACTTGACAAGTGGGGTCATTTGCCAGCAGTGCAATGTGTCAGGGGGCACCTGAGAACATTGAGGAGAGAATGGGAGGTCAAGAAGTAGAAGTGGCATGTGGGTGATTTTGAAAACTTTTGTTGGTGAAGAAGGAGAAGTGGAAGAAGATAGGTGCATGTATAAGCTTAAGAGGGGGATAAAGCTCATTAAAAAAATTTTTTTTTTAATCCTTAATCGAAACTGGGTCTCACTACATTGCCCAGGCGGGTCACAAATTCCTGGCGTCAAGCGATCCTCCCATCTTGGTCTCCTCAAGTGCTGCGATGATGGGTGTGAGCCACTGCACCTGGTTGAGCTCCACTTATAAGAGAGGTAGTTCAGCACCATGATTCAGAGCACAAGCTTTGGAATCAGCCAGTTGGCCTGGGATTACATTCTACAGCCCTTACCAACTGCTGATCTAAGGCAAAGCTCTTAACTTCCCTGTGCCGTGCTTTTCTCATCTGTAAATTAGGGGTAATATTCAGCACTTGAAGCACCCCCACTGTGGGTGAGGCCACCTGCTTGGCATGAGGATAGATAAGATGTGTATGTTTCCTTGTCCTTGAGAGCCTTACAATTTACTAGTAGACAATGGTGAGCCAGTAGCCATGTCACGGCATAGTCAGAGCAAGGATAGACCTCACAGTGCTCATTCTGGCACCTTCATGACTCCAGACAACTTGTCGTACCTGAAGTGTTACTCTGGGTTTTGGGAATTATGGTTACGATGATAAATCAAAATGGTTCTTCTTGTCCTTTCAGGTGAATCACGTCCGAACCAGAGACTTTGACTGCTGCCTTGTTGTACCCCTCATAGCAGAATCTGGGAATAAGCTGGACCTGGTTATTAGTAGAAACCCATTGTCTTCACAGAAGTCTATAGAACAACAGAGTCTACCAGGAGACTGGAATGAACAGAACAGTGCTTTTTTCCAGCAGCCTAGCCACGGTGGTAATTTGGAGACACGAGAACCCACTAATACATTATAGCAACGCTTTTTATAAAGCAGGACAAAAGACAATATCTACATGGTGCTAAAAATACCTTTAAGATTTCTGTGACATCTGAAGCACAGATAATCACGTGGCATTAACTGCAAGCACAGGGGTCTTTTAAATCTCATGGCTCATGTTCACTTCCCTTTTCAAGTTGAAGAGGTTTCTTTTTTGGTGACCACTATGGTATATGGCGGGCAATGCCCTGCCAGGCCCAATGGTAGAGAAAAATAGGCCGCCCCCCAACCCTACAATGAACATCAGAGGAAATTTTTTACAAGTTCATCATCTTACTATCATCACTTTTTAAAAAGAGAAACAGCTGTTTGAAAATATTCTCTATGATGATTTCCTTAATTCACTTTGAAATCAGTTTCTTACTATGAAGTCATTAATGTAAGAACTTGACCAACAAGGCTTTTCTTCTCATAAGCTGGCTCTACTAGGGGAACAAGTGTTTGGTAAACTGCTGGGACTGCCACAATGGGAGGGGTACAGGTATAAAATTATCTTAAAATGTTTCAGCAATGATGCACGTAGGAGACCATAATAGGTGGTGGTAACTGTTTTGCCCAAGTATAGGAATGATTTTAACTAAGATGTATGCTATTCCCTATGCAACAAATTATCAAACAGGATATGTCTTGTGACCTGTTTTTTTTTTAAGGACACATTTTTAATAGCTGAAAATATCTGATAATGAATTAGAGTGTGTAGTAAACACGAGAATTAGCTATATTATTTTTTAAATTCAAGACTAAGAACTTAAGAGAGAATGAAGAGTCTATTAAAATGAGGTTCATCTTAATGATAGGCAAATCAAACTCATACTGCTTGATATGTTTTGAAAACTGGTAATATTGAGGGTGTACAGCACATGTACTTAAAAATGACACTGGACTATCTTTTGTTCTGAGCCATGCCACTTACCGAAATTGTAAATACATTTTTCACAAATGCATTGCCAATTATTACCATCCCTCAAAGCAATAAATTGTGACAGTTGCTTTAAATGTTTGTCAGCAACTGTTTTCATTTGTTCAGATATTTTGAATAGCTACACTAATAACTGTTATTTGGTGAATATAAAAAAATAGATCTGTATATTGATGGTAGACTCTCCATATTGAAATGATTATTTGCCATTTTCATTTTGGTCAATAATTCAAACTACCACTTAGGCAAAGCATTCAAACACTGTGTCCTTTGTTTAAGAAAAAAAAATCACCTTTCTTTTTGTGCAAAAAAATATTTATTTCAATCACATTTCAGAACCGCCAGCGCAGGAAAGTATAAAGCAGAATCATGTTAAGAAAAAAGAAAAAAGATCATGAGTCACTTAAATATGTATTTTTATTTGTAACAAACAAGTATTAAACTGTAAAGTATTTTTGTACAAATTTAATACTTTAATAGCATGGTATTTATCGTCTATGTATGGTTTTGGGGAATTCAAAATTGTTCAAATATTTGTATGGAAAAAAAACCCTCTACCAAATGGAATAAACAGTGATTTTAAAAAGCCAAATAAACAGGACATGCATTATTGTTGTTTTCAATATATTTCAGTGTTCTACCCTGAGTTCTATACATTGCTTTTTGTTTTGTTTTGTTTGAGATGGAGTTTCACTCTGTTGCCGAGGCTGAAGTGAAGTGGCACAATCTCAGCTCACTGCAACTCTTGCCTTCTGGGCTCAAGTAATTCTCCTACGTAGCCTCCCGAGTAGCTGGGATTACAGGCACCCACCACCACACCCAGCTAGTTTTTGTATTTTTAATAGACACAGGGTTTCACTATGTGGCCAGGCTGGTCTCAAACTCCTGACCTCAAGTGATCCACCTGCCTTGGACAGGTGTGTGAGCAACCACATTCGGCCACAATGTTTATTTTTGTATACTATTCTAAAGGTGAAAGGTTTTCCTATCAACCTGAAAAGCACCACTGAAGAGTAGGAACCTAGGTTTTAAAACTGGATCCAGGTTTGATTTCAGGGTCCAGTAGTTAATGGTAGTATGAAATTTACTCACCATGAGTCAGCCTCTCTACCTGAAACTGAAGGTCTTGTCTGTACCACAGAACCAGTCAGCAGATGAGGAGTGAAATATAGGAGAATGGGCTAAAACATACACACAGAAACACCTGCAAGACTAATGGTACATTTACTGTAGGTGACAAATTTGGGTCAAGTATCACAACATCCACCCTCAGAGAAAATTACATGTAGTCTATGAGATAGATTTACATAAACTATTAAAATATACAAACTTTATGCTACCTTTAAAAAAAAAACTACATCTATAGTCTCAACATTTTCATTTCTGCAAACTGCCTTGCAGGCCTTGTAAACTCACATTCATTTTTATCCGCTTGGATTCAGTGTGCCCAGGGTTATATTCTGAAAGGCAGAGTATTTTCTAGCACCTGAGAGTCATATGACCCCAAGTGACACTCTATTATTGCAAAAAATCCAAGCAACTGTTCAAATATTTATTGCACTATATAGATAGTGTCTCCTCACTTCTGCATCACGCATGAGGCTGAAGCCAATGAAATGTGTGAATAAAGGCAAATGAGAAGCTGTATCTCATAAAAGACGGATATTTCAGTTGTAGCCAAAACTAAAATGAATCAATAGAAAATGGCTGTTAAAACAAGGTTTGAGGGAGGCGCAACATTCACGTGAACACCCATGCATCAGACTTATGACCTACAAAAGGATCTTAATGAAATTTTACAGAATTTTGAATTGTGTCAGTTATTTGTATTTTGGCCAATAGTACATTTATAATATGAGAATTAGTGCTTTGGAATATTCAGGTACATAGTATTAGTTTCATTGTGTTTTATGGAAAAAAGGTATTTTCAAGTTCTTCTTGACAGTGTGAAGCTTTACCTGAGCCCTATACCCTGAAACATAGCCAGAATTAAAGAAATTTTATTTCTAAAACATTACAGTAACCCTCCTGCTGCCCATCACCTGTGTGTTTCAGGAAATGGCTTATTATAAAGAACCATCCTTCCCCAGGTGACTTCGGTAAGACTCACAGATGTTCATCCCCTGCTCCTCCATCTACTTATAACAAAATCAGACACAGACTGCCCTGAAAATTTCCATTCTTTGCTTCATAAATGATTAGCTGAATTGCTTGTACTCACTGATCTAGAGAATATATTAAGCTTCCTTCCCCCAGGCTGTTGAACTTTGACCAAATCTTAATTTAAGTCAGCATACAACCCCTCCTTACGAGCCCCTCCTAAGAGTAATAGGATAAGAGTTAAAATTAATGAAATAGAGAACAGAAAGACAGTAGAGAAAATCAATGAAAGCAAAAGTCAGTCCTTTAAAAAGATCAAAACTCATAAACTTTTAGCTAAACTACGAAAAAAAGAGACTCAAATTATTCAAATCAGGAATGAAACAGGCTGGAGTGCAGTGGTGTGATCTCTGCTCACTGCAACCTCCACCGCTGGGGTTCAAGCGATTCTCCTGCCTCAGCCTCCTGAGTAGCTAGGATTGCAGACGTGTACCACCACGCCTAGCTAATTTTTGCATTTTTAGTAGAAACGTGGTTTCACAATGTGGGTCAGGCTGGTCTCCAACTCTTGACCTCAGGTGATCCACTTGCCCTGGCCTCCCAAAATGCTGGGATTACAGGTGTGAGCCACCACACCTTGCCTAATATACATAATTTTATAAAAATATATATGTATGTAAAATATCTAATCTCTTCACTTATGTCCAGTGCTACCAGTTCTCATGATGACAAATGCTGAAATCATTAATATTTTCCTTGATTAAATGAATTTTAAACATTTGCTAACACAAATACCTTAAAACTCCAGTTATAGGCTTCTTTTTTCATCTTGATACTTTGAAGCTACAATGTTCATTGTGTCTTGAATAGAAAAATATAGTTACTTTGAGCAATTTGAAATAAAACTAAGTTTCTTGATGATCTGTGGGCTTGAAAAGTTGCCTGGGAACTAAATTATTCAGTCTCAAATTCTGAAGTCTGGAAGACACTTGTGGAGATTCTCCCACCTGTTAGAACAATTAAAATAATAAAGTTAATTTTGTAAAAATGTAGTCAGTCTACCCTATGTACTTCTATTCCCTCTGCTTCAGAAGAAGAAATAATGCACTTTTCCCAACCCTTGAAAGACTTGAGCAACCAAAGCAATCAGCTGACAGCTCCTTGTAGGATCACATCTGCTTTGCTCATAATGCTTTGTGGTATCTCCAGCACCCAGCTCTGGGTCTGGCATCTAGAAGTGACTAAGTACTGAATACGTACGTGCGTCTAACTTCTAAAGGTGTAGACGGGGCGCACTACATAGCAGCTCAGTTCAAAATTAAAATGATGGCCCCTTGTTTAAACTTAAGAATTTTAAGATGGTGATTACAGAACATTTTTTATCTTTAAGTGTGGGGCCCTTCTAAGCCCAGAGTCCTGGAGGACTGCCCACATTGCCTGCCCAAGAAGCCAGCTCTGCATGTGTAAGATGAAACACTGCAATGCCACAGTCATGTTCTTCGTGTTATTGACGCTTCCAAAGCAGAAGTCAGCGGGCCAGTGTGGTCATGATGAAGTTTCACCACCATAAAAAGAAGAGAAAAGTAAGCATAACTCAATTTTAGGAAAAAGGTCTTTCTTTGGAATGGCCTCTCTTTTCTGCTCATGTCAAAAGCCTTATTCCAGGACCTCTGCAGGAGATGACAGGTTTAATTTCAGAAAAAGATGTTTTCCTGAGATGGAAATTCCATCAAAGAGTTGACTGGGGTACAGAATGGAACTTAGAATCAGTAGGGATTCTGATTCTGAGAGGGAAAAAAAAGGAATTTCCCCCTGAACCCTTGACTACGTCCACTTTAATCACTTTTCCCACAAAACTTGTCCCTCAGCCTCTTTTACCAATCTGGTTAATGGTGCCTGGATCCACCCACCTATATGCCTGAGCCAAAGCTTAGGAGTGATCCTCAGACCCAACCCCACCTATATCCAACTGATCAGTAAGTCCCATCAGCTCTATCCTTAGCATCTCTTCTCCATCCCCACTGATACTACCTAACATTAGAGCCTCCTCATTTTATCCAGGCCAATGAAATAATCTTTTAGCTGGGAAGTCATTCCCTACTCTTTCCCTAACCGTCATCATCCACTAAACCTCAGTCAGCGTCACCGTCATAAATTTCAATTCACAGGGCACTTAAAATGCTTCTACTGTTCTCCATTGCAATCAGAAGAATGTACGACCTCTTCAGAAGACCCCGTGTCCATCCTCCTGCCTTTTCCTGTCTGCAACCCATCCTCTCACTGTGCCCTGTGCTCCAGCCATGCTGTTCTTCACCTGTAGTCTCCTAATGTGCCAGGACTCTACACACTGTGCCCTGTGTCAGACTGACTCTTAGAGAACCTTTTCTCTGTGCTATATCCATTTGGGGACAGAGGATCTAAGTATTCTCCACTTACAACTCAGCCTGGTTCTGGCAAGTGACACCAGCATTTTCTCCCCTGAGTTCCTTCTGTGGCCCCTTTTTACCTTTATTTTTTACCTTTAAGCCTTGGAAGCTTAAGCCAGTACTTAAAGCAATTCTTACGCTTCTGTTGGAACTACATTTGGAAATGACTTACATTCCCACTTTTATTTTTTTAACACAAAATCCATTACCCATATTGGATCCTCTAACACATAATACCAGAAAACAAATGCCATCGGGTTATTTCCTAAACCCAGAATAGGTCTCAATAGAAGTTTGCTTCCCTTACAAACATTCAGAAGGATCTTTTACTGCCTTGAAAGTGATTCCAAAAGGAGTTGTCAAAGTAAAGGGGGCACTACAAGAATACAAGTATGACTTTCAGTACAACCTGAAAGAACAATGCTCAGAAGGTCTGATTTTTTTTTAAGTTTCATCACCATATTTTCATATATTCATGACTCATATTTTCACTATTTTTGAGGCATTACCATGTGATCAGCAATTGTACCAAAGGTTCTAGCAGATCAAAAGTGATATATACTGTCCTCAAGAAGCTTTATTTACAGAGTCAAACAAGTTTACTGCAAGTGCAGTACAGAAGGGGTGTGCTGCCCTCCTACAGGAGTTCAGAGAAAGACAAGCCTTCAGGAACAACACAGAAACTGAGCTGGATTCTAATAAGAGAGAGAGGATGGGACGAGGGGATCAGCTTTGAATTACTTTATCTTCCCTCTGCTATGTATACCCAACAACGTACTACATCCATTCCTTCTGGTTGCAATGGAAGAAGGGTCCTCTGTCCCTAATCCTGTCTCAGGGCAACCCCTCTACTTAATTCTCTTGGTTTTTCCCATCTTACCCACTTCAGGACTCCAATTCTGCAATTAACCCCTCTCTGAATCATGAATTTCTCGTTCTCCATTGGACCATTCTAGCAGCACACTAAGATGCCTTAATATACCCATCCAAAGTAAACAAACCAATACAGTTTTCCTTGCCCACAGTCCTCTATTCAGATACAACCATCTTTGTTTCTTTTTTTCAGCAGCCCTCTTCAAAACCTGCCTCCACTGCTTATTCCACCCTTTCGGCTCCCATTTTGGACAAAAGGCCCCTCCGTTCAGGCTTTTGTCCCCTCCCCACAACCCTGGTTTTCCTTCTGTCACACTCATACTCCTTTTTAGTTCCTCCTCCTCTGCAGGATCTCTAAAAGCTGGGAATACCCCAGAATTCTGTCATCAGGCCTTCTCCTCTATCTGCAGTCTCTCCTGAAATTAACTCAACTAATCATTTCAATATCACTACATGCTAATGACTCCCACGTGACCTTTCCTGCCCTACTCCCTGCTGAGGCTCTAAACTCCTCTACAAACCACTGACTCACTCAACAAGTTCATGTACATTTCCAATTAGCACCTTAAACAACAGCATGCCACAAGAGAATGCTTCATTTCCCCAAATGAGTTCTCCTCACATCTTTCTCATCTCAGGAAACGGCACTGCTATTCTCCAAACTGCTTTAGCCAGAAATCCAGGAATCATCCTGGATTACTTTCCTTTACCTCATCACATCTAATCAGCAAACCATACAGACTCCATCTCCAAAATGCATCCGGACTCCAACCATGTATCACGAACCCCGCTCTTTCACTAGGCTCACCCCACGATGACCTCCTACTGGTCCCTTCGCTTCCCTTTCATTTTCCACAGCTCCCTCTCCACAGGAGTCAGAGGGATTGTTTGTTTGTTTGTTTGTTTTTGAGACAGGGTCTCATTCTGTCACCCAGGCTGGAGTGCAGGGCATCATCACAGCTCACCATAGCCTCGACCTCCTGGGGTCAGGTGATCCTCCCACCTCAGTCTTCTGAGTAGCTAAGATAACAAGCACCCGGTACCAACCCCAGCTAATTATTTTTTTTGCATTTTTGGTAGGGACGGGGTTTTGTCATGTTGCCCAGGCTGGTCTTGAACTCCTGGGCTCAAGTTATCTGCCTGCTCTGGCCTCCCAAAGTGCTAGAATTACAGGTGTGAGCCACCACACCTGGCCTATTTTTTTTTTTTTTTTTTTTTGAGACAGGGTCTTGGTCTGTCCCCCATGCTGGAATGGGATTTCACAATCACAGCTCAATGGAGCCTGGAACTCCTGGCATGAAGCAATCCTCCTACATTAGCATCCCGAGTAGCTGGGACTATAGATATGTGCTACCACATTTAGCTAATTTTTTACTATTTTTGTAGAGATGAAGTCTCACTATATTGCCCAGGTTGGTCTCAAACTCCTGGGTTCAAGCAATCCTCCTGCCTGGCTCCCAAAAGTGTTAAAATTTAAAGTGTGAGCCACCACACCCAGCAGGGTTGTGGTTCTGTTTTTGTTTTTCAGACAGGCTCTTGCTCTGTCCCCCAGGCTGGAGTACAGTGGTGCAATCACAGCTCACTGCAGCCTCAACCTCTCAGGCTTAAGTGATCCTCCCACATCAGCCTCCTGAGTAGCTGGTACTATAGATGCATGCTAACATGCCCAGCTAATCTTTCTATTTTTAGTAGAGGTGGGAGTTCACCATATTACCCAGGCTGGTCTCAAACTCCTGGGCTCAGGCAATCCTCTCACTTTGGCTTCCCAAAGTGCTGGAATTACAGGTATGAGCCACTATGCCTGGCTGGGACTATGTTTAAGCAGACATTACATATCACACCACTGCTTCCAGCCCTCCAGTGAATTCCCACTGCAAGCAGAATAAAATCCCAACTCCTTCCCGTGGCCCTGCCCATCTCTCCAACACCAGCACCTGCACCCTCTTCCTCGCTCACTAGCCACATTCGCCTGCCTTCCTCTGTTTGTTGCTGCTGTTGTTTTGAGATGGAGTTTTGCTCTTGTTGCCCAGCTGGAGTGCAAAGGAACAATCTCAGCTCACTGCAACCTCTGGCCCCAGGTTTAAGCAGTTCTCCTGCCTCAGCCTCCTGAGTAGCTAGGATTATAGGTGCCTACCACCACACCCAGTTAATTTTTTGTATTTTTAGTAGAGATGGGGTTTCACCATGTTGGCCAGGCTGGTCTCAAACTCCTAACCTCAGGTAATCCTGACCTCAGGTGATCCACCTGCCTTGGCCTCCCAAAGTTCTGGGATTATAGGCATGAGCCACTGGGCCCAGCCAACCTGCCTTCCTCTTTGAATAAAATCATTCCCTTTCCAGGCCTTCCATTATCTACATCCTCAGAGGCCACCCTGCTGGCTCCTTGGTAACATTCAGTGCTCAGCTCACATGTCACCTTTTTAGGGAGGCATAACCTGGTCAAAATAGCACCTCCTGCCCTCCGTAACCCCTGCCATTCCCTATCTCATTGCCTTGTTTGTCATTTTCATAGACTCTTGATCTGAAATTTGATTTTCTCTTCTATTTATTGCTTATGCTAGACTGTAATATCCATGAAGCCAGGCACTGGTGTGCCTTCCTCCCTAACATTTAGATCAGTGACTGGCAGGTATTTATTTTTATTTTTCGAATTTTTTGCTAAATGTTTTTTTCAAATGCTGAAAGAGAAGAGACAGAAAAGGGCACTCAAGATGAGTGACACAGCAAGAGTCAAATGGAAGATGAAATGTTTGATTCATTTTAGTGAGCTGAAGATACTAGCTTGACAAAAGCAGAAAAAGAATAGTGGGAAATGAAATGATTCAAGAAAACTGGAATCAAACTGAGAAAGGTCTCAAATGCCAAGCTAAATAGTCTAGAATTTATGTTGTAGGTACCTGGGAGCCACTGGAGCTTTTGAACAAAGGAGTGAATCTTAGCGGACACCTGAAGCCTTGGATAGTACCAGACCCAAATGTATTGGGTTTTCCTATACATGCATACCCATAATAAAGGTTAATTCACAAATCAGGAACAGTAAAAGATTAGCAACAGTAACATAAAAATAAAACAATTAAGCAAAATAAGGGTGACTTGACACAAGCACTGCAATATGGAGACAGTCACTCTAATAACTAAGATGGTGGCAAGTGACTAATGGGTGAGGAGTGTCCACAGTGTGAACACACTGGACAAAAGGAGGAGTCACAGAATGAGGTGGTGTGAGATTTCATCACACTGCCCAGAATGGCATGCAATTCAAAATTGAATAATTTTTTGTGTGTGGAATTTTCCATTTAATATTTTTGGACCACAGTTGACCATGGGTAACTGAAACTGTGGAAAGCAGAACCACAGAAAAGTGGGGAACTGCTGTATTATGAGAATGGGAACAAGAAAGGGGAGGGCAGCCAGGTCACCAATCATCCAAGAAGAGGGTAGAGTGAAAGCAAGCTGAGTTCATGGTGATTCTAAGATTTTAAGTCATGTAACTAGGAAGATGGTGATGGAAACGGGAAAATTGGAGAGAGAGTAAGATGCTGGGCTGTGGTTCCAGAAAGTCATTCTCTGGGAACAAAGACACAGCTTAGGCAGTTGGTTCATTAACTCCTCTTCAGCGCCAGAGCACTCAGTGAATCACCATATTACTGACATAGCCGGCTGTCTCCACCATGACAATCTGTGAGAGTAAGAACTGTCACTTTCTTATCTCGCACTCCTGATGCCTGAAATGTTACTACAGTCAAAACTTCGTGAGCCGAATCACTGGTGCCAGAGAGATGGCTGAAACTGAGAATGAGTCAGTTCTCAAAGGAAAAAAGAACTGACCTTTGGGAGATGTCTTTAGAGGCTGGGAAGGAAAAAGGAGTGAGAAAATTAAGGGAAGATGAGACAGTGAGATAAGGGAAATTTGACAGAAATGAGACAAACAGTTGCTTTTAAGTCCAACAGCACAATGCAACACTAATAAAAGCACACAGTCATTTATAAGCACACTGAAGTTAGCAATATTTAAATAAAACTTGGGCACATGTAAACATCACTCCTACCATACGAATTTTGTTTGGACTTTCATCATCATTCAGACCACAGGTTCTTTTGGATGCTCTCAATTTGGATAAATCATCAGCTGTATCCACTCCGTCAGGTGAAGATAATTGCCATCTTTCAGCAAAGGTGAGTGTCCTTTCATCAGGTGAAGAGGCCTCCCTCCAGGTGACATCATTTGTCACAGTGTGGTCTGTGACTACAGGGAGTAGAGATGCTGATGGTGTGCTGGGTCCTCCACTGTCTCCAGAGCTCTTCTGTGGGGACTGAAAATCTGCTGGTGTCCTCTCATCAGGTAAAGAGGCTTTACTCAAGGTGACGTCATTTGTCACAGTGTGGTCTGTGACTACAGGGAGTAGAGATGCTGATGGTGTGCTGGGTCCTCCACTGTCTCCAGAGCTCTTCTGTGGGGACTGAAAATCTGTTGGTGTCCTCTCATCAGGTAAAGAGGCTTTACTCCAGGTGACATCATTTGTCACAGTGTGGTCTGTGACTACAGGCAGTAGAGATGCCGACAGGGTGCTGCATCCTCCACTGTCTCCAGAGCTCTTCTGTGGGGACTGAAAATCTGCTGGAGGTGTGCCACTTGAGGAGAGCTGATTTTGCAAGAAATGTTTCAAACGAGTTTTTCTAGGAAAACTCTTTCTCATAATGGCATTCCGGAGCTGAGACTCTTCCGCAATCACATACACTCGGCAGCGGCCCCTGGTCACTGCGGTGTAGACATGCTGCCAGTGCTGCCGGCCTGCCTTCCCCACCACATAGACGACTGTTTGCTCCTCGGACCCCTAGGAGGAAAAACATGGTGTGAAGACTTACTGCTATAAAATAGGTTCAGACAGTTCACAGACAAGAAAAGGAAACAAGCCCTCAAAGTGCTCTCAGGCACTTCTACCTGGCCAGACTATTATTACATGTCCAACTGATGGGTTCCACTTTGATTCATCATCCAAGAACTCTAAACTTGCTGATGAACATGTTGCTAAGTTCAAGTCTCACAGTGCACAACTGGCTTGTAGAAATCTAGCAGCAAACTTTAAAGACTGCATGCAGTACTAAATCTTTCCTAATGTAAGACTGAAATAATGGTACAGGCTTCATATGTGAATGTGTTAACCCATTATTACATATAATGGCAAAATATGGAAACTTTGAGGAGAGAGATCCAAGATGGCCAATTAGCAGCTCAGGATTGTAGCTCCCAGTGAAAGTGCAGAGAATGAGTGGATGCCACACTCCCAGATGAATTTTTGTTGCCCACGGACCAGGAGATTCCCAGTGGAGGAGCCCCACGGGTCGCCAGCACAACTCTTGGATGGTGCGACTGTTTTGCCAGCACCCTGGCGCGGTGGTTCTCAGTGCAGAGTATAAGAGACTGGGTGTCCTTTTAGTTGGCGTTTGGAGCTCTGGGAAGGCAGAGTCGCCCATTCAGCTGATTGAAAAGGGGATTGAAGTGGGGAGCCACACTGGGAGATTCCGGGGCAGAGCGCCACAAATCTCAACACCGTTGTTTCAGCCAGCGCAGTGGGTTACCGCAGGGGAAATTATACAGATTCCAGCGCCTTTTCAGCGGGCGACTGTAACACCTGGGAGAGAGTCGACCATTCAACTAAAAAAAAGAAGAAGAGGCTCTGGGACAGGGAGCCAGGTGATCGGGCTCAACTGGTCCCACCCCCACAACAAAAAACCCAGCAATTGGAAGCGTTGAGGATTGAGAGTTTCACAGCAAGCACAACTGAACCCAGGAAGGTCCAGCTTTGTGGGGGAGGGGCGTCCGCCAAAGGAAAACTAAGAAACAGAAAAAACTTCATCACCAACAAGCTGGATGTCCACTCAGAGACCCAATCTGAAAGTCAGCAATTACAAAGACAACATGGATAAATCCACAAAGATGGGAAGAACCCAACACAAAAAGGCTGAAAACTCCCGAAATCAGAATGCCTCTCCTCCTACAGGGGATCGCAGCTCCTCATCAGTAAGGGAACAAAGCCTGATGGAGAATAAGTGTGATGAATTGACAGAATCAGGCTTCAGAAGGTGGATAATAAGAAACTTCTGTGAGCTAAAAGAACATGTTCTAACTCAATGCAAAGAAACTAAGAACCTTGAAAAAAGGTTTGACAAAATGCTAACGAGAATAGATAATTTAGAGAGGAATATAAGTGAATTAATGGAGCTGAAAAACACAATACGAGAACTTTGTGAAGTATGCACAAGTTTTAACAGTCGAATTGATCTAGCAGAAGAAAGGATATCAGAGGTCAAAGACCAACTTAATGAAATAAAATGAGAAGACAAGATTAGAGAAAAAAAGGTAAAAAGGAATGAGCAAAGTCTCCAAGAAATATGGAACTACGTGAAAAGAGAAAAAAGCACAAAAAAGAATGAACAAAGTCTCCACGAAATGTAGGACTATGTGAAAACACCTAATCGACATTTGATAGGTGTACCTGAATGTGACAAAGAGAATGAATCCAAGCTGGAAAATATTCTTCAGGATATTATCCAGGAAAACTTTCCCAACCTACCAAGGCAGGACAATACTCAACTCCAGGTAATACAGAGAACACCACAAAGATATTCCACAAGAAGAGCAATCCCAAGACACATAATCGTCAGATTCACCAGGGTTGAAATGAAGGAGAAAATACTAAGGGCAGCCAGAGAGAAAGGTCAGGTTACCCATAAAGGGAAGCCTATCAGACTCACAGCAGATCTCTCAGCAGAAACCCTACAAGCCAGAAGAGAGTGGGGACCAATATTCAACATTCTTAAAGAAAAGAACTTTCAACCCAGAATTTCATATCCAGCCAAACTAAGCTTCAGAAGTGAAGGAAAAATAAAATTTTTTGTGAATAAGCAGGTACTCAGAGATTTCATCACCACCAGGCCTGCTTTACAAGAGCTTCTGGGGGAGTTTCTCTGCCACGTACAAAACCCCGATCCAACCCCTGTGTTGAGGGCTGACTTTCAATAGATCAATTGATTACAAGAGCTGAAAGAAGCACTACACATAGAAAGGAACAACCAGTATCAGCCATTTCAAAAATATACCAGAAGGTAAAGAGCATCACCATAATGAAGAATCTATATCAACTAATGGGCAAAAGAGCCAGCTAGCATTAAATGGCAGTATTAAACTCACATATATCAATGTTAATCCTAAATTTAAATGGACTAAATGCCTCAATCAAAAGACACAAACAGGTAAACTGGATAAAAAGCCAAAACCCATTGGTATGCTGCATCCAGACCCATCTCACATGCAAGGATACATAAAGACTCAAAACAAAGGGATGGAGGAAGATTTACCAACCACATGGAGAGAAAGAAAAAAAAAAAGCAGGAGTTGCAATTCTCATCTCTGATAAAACAGACTTTAAAGAACAAAGACCAAAAGAGACCAAGAAGGACATTACATAATCGTAAAAGGATCAATGCAACAAGAAGAGCTAACGATCTAAAATATATACGTACCCAATACAGGAGCATCCAGATACATAATGCAAGTTCTTAACGACTTACAAAGAAACTTAGACTCCCACACAATAATAATGGGAGACTTTAACACTACATTGTCAATATTAGACAGATCAACGAGTCAGAAAATTAACAAGGAGATCCATGACTTGAACAGACCTGGAACAAGTAAACTTAATAAACATTTACAGAACTCCACCCCAAATTCACAAAATATACATTTTTCTCAGTATCACTTCACACCTATTCTAAAACTGACCACATAATTGGAAGTAAACCATTCCTTAGCAATGGCATAGTATTTCACAGGTTTAAATGAAATTTTGTTTGGCTGCTTGTTTGTTATTTTCCTCCCTTCTTCCTTCCTGTCTCCATTGTTAAGCACAATTATTGGCATAAAAGAGGTTTTAAATACCAATTTTTAGACTGCATTCTAGCCTGGGCAATAGAGCAAGATTCCTGTTCTCTCTCCCTCTTTCTCTTACTCTTTCTTTCTTTCATTCTTTTTTCTTTTTCTCTTTCTTTCTTTTTCCTCTTTAAAAAAATATGGAAACTTTGAGTAGCCAGTAATAGGTAAATATATATATTATGTACATATTAATATATGTATATAAAATATTACGTATAGATTTCTAGTTCCCAGGGCTTCATTCGTAATGCCCAGTCCTTAGAGGCCCCACCAACCTCGCCCCGCAATCCCGCCCCAACCCCAGCACTACGTCTGGACTGGCTCAGAGGAACACCCATTCCAGATAATAAGGTTTTCTTTCTTGCCCAGGTGTTTTCAACCTTTAAACCAGACGGGGCTTGTTCTGTTTTTACCTTTTTAAATTTTAACTCCTCTCTTACTATCATTCCCAAATGGGCTTGTTCTGATTCCTTCCTGGACCATAGAGCTACAGACTTCCTCCAAAAGTTACTTCCAATAGGCTTTTAGGCATCATTGGGGTCCCATTTCATACATAAAGGGCCAGACATTAAAGACCAGAACATTAAAAAGAAACTACATACATGGGGGATAGTAGAAGTGCCACTAGGGGAAGATTCAAGATGGCGCAGTAGGAGCAGCTCAGGATTGCAGCTCCAAGTGAAAGTGCAGAGGGTGAGTGGATGCCGCATTTCCAGATGGATCTTATTGCCCACAGACCAGGAGATTCCCAGGCGGAGAAGCCCCACGGGTCGCCAGCATGGCTGTTTCGGCTGGCGCAGCTGTTTCAGCCGGTGCCGCAGCGCAGCAGCTCTCCATACAAAATACACTGGTCTAGTTGCCCTGTTAAACTGGCAAGTGGAGATCCAGGAAGGCAGATTAGCCCATTCATCTGATTAAACAGTACTGAAACAGAGTTAGCCCAGGAGATTCCCGGGCAGCGATGTTGTTTCAGCCAGCGCAGTGGGTCGATGCATGGGGAAATCACACAGATCCTGGCACCCTTTCAGCAGGCAACTGGAACACCTGGGAGAGAGTCAACCATTCAACTTAAAAAAAAAAAAAAAGGGCTCTGAGGCAGGGAGCCAGGTGATCAGGCTTGGTGGGTCCCACCCCCCACAAAAACAAACAAACAGAAAAAACAGCAATTGGGAACACTTGGAATTGAGTTTCATGGCAAGCACAGCTGAACCCGGGGACGGTCCAGCTCTGTGGGGGAGGGGCGTCCATCATTACCGAGGCACTCCACCCCTACAGAGGTAGTCTGCCATTGCTGATGCAGCCTGCCGTTGCCAAGGCAACCCACCATAACAAAGAGAGTCCACCATTACAGAGGCGGGCCACCATTGCCGAAGCAGTTCTAACCACACCCATATAAACAGGACTGCAGGGAAATACACACGGCAGCAGGACAAACCCCACAGCAGATCAGCAAAGCCTCTGCAGGCAGACAGTGACTAGGCCGCCTCCTTGCTGGGCAGGACAGCCCTGAAAAAAAAAAAAAGCAGCAGCACAATGGATACTCATAAATAAAGCCCTAACTCCCCAGGACAGAGCACCTGTGAAAAAAAAAGGGGGTTTATGAGTTCTGCTGCTGCAGACTTAAACACATCTACCTAGCAGCTCTGAATGAACAACGAAGCTCACAGCTCAGCACTTGAGCTCCTATAAAGAAGAGACTGTCTCCTCCAGCAGCTCCCTGACCCCTGTATATCCAACGAGTCACCTCACAAAGGACTGATCAGACTGACACTTGGCGGACATCGTTCTGGGACAAAGATAGCAGAATAAGAAACTGGCAGCAACCCTTACTGTTCTGAAGCTGCTGCAGGTGATCCCCAGGCAAGCAGGGCCTGGAGTGGACCTCAGCAATCCTACAGC